ACAGAAAAAAAAAAAAAAAGGCCTTCCCCAAAACCGGGAAGATTACACCCCTTCCCCATGAGATCAGAAGAAAAAGAAACTAATAGGGAAAGATAGATCAGATCCGGATCGAAACAAAAAAACGGAAAAAGCACCAAGACCTGAATTAAGGCGCCAAGCAAAGCCATGGAACCAGCCATGTCGCAATCCATTCATCCTGGATGATCAGCAAGTGAGAGAGTCCCGAGGAGAAATGAGAGAAGAAAAAGGTTTTTACCCGGGTTCAGTGGTGGGGGGAGTACACGGTCTGACAGATGGGGCACTTGTACTGGCCATAGGCGAACCATGACGCAAGACAGGAAGCGTGGAAAGCGTGATTACATTGATTCAGAATGAGGACACTGCGGTCGCCGTCGCGGTAGCGGTAGCGCATCCGATCTGATTCGAGCACGGAGGGAGGAGGGTCAGCATCAGGGGTAAGCGTGTCATGACTGTGGAGAGCGATGGTTGAGCGAGAATGAGGGAGGATGCAGGCGGGTTCTGGAGAAGACGGTAGCGTGTCTTGCGAAGACGACGGTGCTACGAGAGTCGAAAGGCAGATGGAACTGGAAGAAAACACCAAAGCAAATCAGAGAGCGTGAACAGAAACGAAACGGGTCCCGATGATAACGGCCAAGCCCACTAGTGCCAGCCCTGTCCCCGCATCTCCAGGGCCAAGAGTCCCGGCGTGCTTCCAACAATGGGATGCGCAACCCTACCAGGTTTCTTGAGCGTAGTGCCGCAGCGGTTGCTGTTGCTGTTGCTGCTGTTGCTGCTGCTGCTGTTCCCCATTTTCCGATCGGGTCAACTCTTTCAGCCATCGCTCCACCGATACCTGTCGCATGCACCCATTGACCTGAAGGAGGTGCACTTCACTGGCTCTTCTCGCCGCCGCTCGTCGACGGTGACGCCACATAATCAGTCTGTCCTGGGTTGTCAACCGTTTGCTGGTGCTTGGCAGAGAAATGACAATATATATCTCTGGGTAGATGTGAAGAAGTAGAGGATGCGAAGAGACCCAACTGCCAACATTGGTAGATGACCAGTCCCAATCGAAATGCATGGAAGATTCTCTCCTGCAGCGGGGATCATGGACTCGACGAATGAACTCACATAGGAACCAAGCTAATGGCGCCAAAGAGTAGCACCGCTCCGACCACGACGCCGGCGATTTCAGAGCCGGGCGGATCATCCGCCATAGCACGGGCGACACGACGGTGGTGATGTCTCGTGTCAATACGAGAACGACTTGAAGAGGAGCAACTAACTGGCGACAGATCCAATAAGATGTATCAGACGCAGAGGATCGGATAGGTCGGCTCAAACAGCGGCGTCGGGATTCGCATAGGGCCGGTCAGGACAACGATAAGAGCAGAGTGTGTGGGGGGTGGGAAGGAGGGGGAAAGGGGGGGGGGACCAGTAACCAGTCAGAGAGAAAGACGAAGAATTATTTTTGGCCGATTCGAAAGAGCGATGGGGCAGCATTTCAAGCGGCGACTGGCTCTCAGACCCCCTCCATTTGCGTCTGGCCAAGACTGACCAAGCGTGCAGAGAAGCCGAGGCGGGAAATAACCCAAGAGGTGCCAAGTCTCCCGCGCCCCGGAACGCTCTTGGCATTCCGCTGGGTCGACGACGGTCTGGCCAGTCATTTGCCTCTGCCCAGCTTTAAGCGACTCTCACGTGGCGACGGCATTGGTCGAATGCGTCATCATCCAACCATCGTTTGCCTCCAAACCCAAGGTTATTCGCCAAGACTCTCATGCTCCTTGGGCCCTTATTGGCTCTTGGCTCTTCCGTCGTCAATTCACGATAATCAAGGGAATCCATGCCAAGAAGTGAACCTTTGTTCGCGTCATGATCCAAGAGCAACATATAAACCCGACAGTTCCCCCGCCTCCTCCCGGATGGAAAAGAAAGAAAAAGGTTAAATCTCCTCTCTCAATTCCTCCCCGATCCATAACTACCCCGATCTAAGGTGTATTCTCTGCCTGGTGTAGGTGTATGGACTCACATTGCTTGGAGGATACAATCTATATGGAGCCTCCCTAAGGACAAGCCCCACTATTAGATTCTATCATATCATATAACTCTTTCTTAAACCCATTGACACAAAAAACACAACTACATATAGACACACAACAACATGACAAACAACGAGAAGAAGCAGACTGATACGGCTCAGCCGTTATCGCAACCCGCCCATTCCCTCTCCTACAATGCCGTCCTCCAAGAGCTCAAAGTGAACGCGGAGGAAGGCCTCACAACGGCGGACGCCAAGAACCGTCTTAGTCAGTATGGGCCCAATGAACTGGAGGGCGGAGAAGGGGTCTCCCTTATAAAGATTATCATTCGACAAATTGCCAATGCAATGATGCTGGTACGTGGAGGTCCCTATGCACATGGACTTTGGAACAATGGACTAATTCTGTACAACAATTATAGGTTCTCATCATTGCGATGGCGGTTAGTTTCGGTATTGAATCATGGATCGAGGGTGGTGTTATTGGCGCTGTCATCCTGCTCAACATCGTGGTTGGTGTTTACCAGGACTATGCAGCGGAAAAGACCATGGATTCCCTGCGCTCCTTGAGTTCCCCAACCGGTGTAGCCACTCGCGACGGCAAGACCAGTACCATCCCTGCCACCGAGATCGTTCCCGGAGATATGATCGAGCTTAAAGTGGGTGACACCGTCCCCGCGGACCTTAGGTATGTACCTAGCGAGAACTGCTCGTCCGACAAAGTGACTCAGCTAACCTCGTCCGTAGGCTCGTTGATGCCATGAATTTCGAAACCGACGAAGCGCTGTTAACCGGTGAATCCCTGCCAGTACAAAAGGAGGTTGACTCTGTGTTCGACCCTGATACGGGACCGGGCGATCGCCTGAATATTGCTTATAGTTCATCTACCGTGACCCGGGGCCGCGCCCGTGGGGTTGTGGTTGGGACCGGAATGAGGACGGAAATCGGTGCGATCGCCGCCGCCCTCCGTGCCGGGGATTCCAAGAGACGGCCCGTTAAGCGTGGTCCCCAGGGCGAGACCAAAAAGCGCTGGTATGTGGAAGCGTGGACCCTGACCTGCACCGATGCAGTCGGTCGCTTCTTGGGTATCAATGTCGGAACCCCTTTACAACGGAAGCTCTCTAAGTTGGCCTTACTACTCTTCGCAATTGCCGTGGTCTTCGCTATTGTGGTCATGGGTGCAAACGAGATGCGGAATGAGAAGGAAGTCATCATCTACGCAGTGGCAACTGGCCTGGCTATGATTCCTGCCTGTCTAGTGGTGGTCTTGACTATTACTATGGCGGTAGGCACCAAGCAGATGGTACAAAGAAATGTCATTGTCCGAAAGCTTGATTCCTTGGAAGCTCTCGGCGCTGTGACTAACATTTGCTCAGACAAAACCGGAACACTTACTCAGGGTCGTATGGTTGCTAAAAGGGCTTGGCTCCCATCACTCGGTACATACTCCGTAGGATCCTCTAGCGATCCCTTGAACCCCCAAGAAGGAGACTTGAGCCTGCTATCTCAACCCCCTGTTGAGCTCCAACGTGATACACAAGGAGAGCCTCGAGACCCTCAAGATCTACTGAAGGAGAACCAGGTGTTGGAAGACTACCTTAATGTCGCGGCAATGGCCAACCTTGCCCATGTCCACAAGTCGGAGAATGATGAATGGCAAGCACGTGGTGAACCCACGGATATCGCTATCCAGGTATTCGCGTCTCGTTTCAACTGGGGCCGTGATCGTTGGACCAAGGGCGAAAAGCCGGTTTGGACCCAGAAAGCCGAATATCCTTTCGATTCGACCGTGAAGAAAATGTCGGTGATTTTCGCCCAAGGTGACCGCGAGATGGTTTTCACCAAAGGCGCCGTCGAACGTGTGGTGGATTCCTGCACATCAGTCATCTGGACCGCTGGTTCTAGTCCCGTTCCCCTGGAGGAAAGCATGAAAGAAGAAATCCTGCAGAACATGGAAGCTCTGGCCAAGGAAGGCCTTCGAGTGCTTTGCCTCGCTTGCCGGGAGAATAAGGGCCCCGCCAACGGAGAGGAAGTTCCTCCAAGAGAGGAAATTGAGAAAGACCTCACGTTCTGCGGTCTTATTGGTCTCTATGACCCCCCTCGTCCCGAAACTGCCGGTGCCATCGAAGAATGTTACCGCGCGGGAATTTCTGTGCACATGGTGACAGGTGACCACCCCGGTACAGCACGTGCTATCGCAGCGCAGGTCGGCATTATTCCTGCAAACATGGACAGCGTCGCAAAGGATGTGGCGGATGCCATGGTCATGACAGCCAGCCAGTTCGATAAATTGACGGAAGACGAGATTGATGATCTCCCCACTCTCCCGCTAGTTATTGCTCGCTGCGCGCCTCACACAAAGGTCCGCATGATTGATGCTTTGCACCGTCGTGGCCGATACGCGGCAATGACGGGTGACGGTGTTAACGACTCACCGTCTCTCAAGCGGGCTGATGTTGGTATTGCTATGGGACAGGCAGGTTCTGACGTAGCAAAGGATGCCTCGGAACTGGTTCTGATGGATGACAATTTCGCTTCCATCATCAACGGAATTGAAGAGGGCCGTCGAATTTTTGATAACATTCAAAAATTCGTCCTGCATTTGTTAGCCGAAAACGTTGGACTTGCGCTTACTCTACTCATTGGTCTGGTATTCAAGGATGTCAACGGACAGTCCGTGTTTCCCATTGCACCCGTCGAAATTCTCTGGATCATTATGATCACCTCTGGTCTCCCTGATATGGGATTGGGAATGGAGATCGCAGCACCGGATATTATGAATCGCCCACCCCAGAGTGTATGTACTTCCCTTTTTTTTTTTTTTTTTTTT